TGATGAAGCTCCCACAACATGTGAAGGCAACTTCTGTTTCATTGCTTGATTGTTCTCACTTGTCAGAAAATTCCTCCTTATTTCTACGTTGAATCTCTTCTTGATCAGTTTCCATCCATTATTCCTTGTTTGGCCTTCAGGTGCTTTGGAGAATAACTTGACCCCCTCCTCTCTGTGGCAGCCCCTGAGATATTGGAACACTGCTATCATGTCTCCCCTGATCCTTCTCTTCTTCTTGATCAGTTTCCATCCATTATTCCTTGACTGGACTTCAGAAGCTTTGAAAAACAGGTTGACCACCTCCTCTCTCAGGCTGACCCTCAAGTATTGGGACAGTGCTATCATGTCTCCCCTGATCCTTCTCTTCTTCTTGATCAGTTTCCATCCATTATTCCTTGACTGGACTTCAGAAGCTTTGAAAAACAGGTTGACCACCTCCTCTCTCAGGCTGACCCTCAAGTATTGGGACAGTGCTATCATGTCTCCCCTGATCCTTCTCTTCTTCTTGATCAGTTTCCATCCATTATTCCTTGACTGGACTTCAGAAGCTTTGAAAAACAGGTTGACCACCTCCTCTCTCAGGCTGACCCTCAAGTATTGGGACAGTGCTATCATGTCTCTCCTAGTCCTTCTCTTCACTAGACCAGCCATGCCCAGTTCCTGCAACCGTTCTTCATACATTTTAGCCTTAAGTTCCCTAATCCTCTTGGTTGCTCTTCTCTGCATTCTTTCTAGAATCTCAACATCTTTTTTATAGTGTGGAGACCAAAACTGGATGCAGTATTCTAGGGATGGTCTTACTAAGTTGTAAAGGACCTTGGAGGTCTTCTAGTCCAACCCCCTGCTCAAGCAGGAGACTATATATCATTTCAGACAAATGGATGTCCAGTCTCTTTTTGAAAGCCTCCAGTGATGGAGCATCCACAGCTTCTGAAGGCAAGCTACTCTATTGGTTGATTGCTCTAACCATTAGGAATTTTCTCCTTAGTTCTAGGTTGCTTCTTTCCTTGGTTAGTTTCCATCCATTATTTCTCATCTTGCCTTTTGATGCTTTGAAAAACAGTTTAACACCCTTCATCTTTGTAGGAGACCCTCCAATATTGGAACACTGCTACCATGTCTCCCCTGGTCCTTCTTTTCATTAGTGAATGTGCTAATGTGCCAAGTGTTATGAGATTTCAGCAGATACTCGTGTTGTTGCACAAAATGGACAACATTTTTTCTCAAGTGCACCCATGCTCATCAGACATTATTCCTGGGCCAATCAGGCTCTCTGTTCGACTGTATAGTTTAATAAGTTTAAATAGTTACTTAATAGTTTAAAGGTTACTTAAAATATTGATCCCAAAGGCAACTGAACTTTATTGGCTTTTTTCCCTTGAAAACGTTTCACTTCTCATCTAAGAAGCTTCTTCGGTTCAGTTCTTCGGAACTGAAGAAGCTTCTTGGATTATCAATTATTTATTTAATTATATCTACTATCACTAAATGTCACTGTTTAACTAGTTTTAAGTTATATTCTTCCATCTATCAAACTGTATCTTTCCAATAACAAAACAATCTTATATCTTCTGCCATAATATTTTAACTCAGATATTTATACATGTTACCCTTATACCTCCATTTTTATTTGACTATAATTGTTTAAATGTTCTTCATCATAAAATATACCAAGATTTAATACATAACCACATACTGGCATTTCATTTAGTAGTAAATAATCTTGGTTGCTCTTCCCTGCACTATTCCTAGACTCTCAACGTTTTTTTACATTGTGGTGATCAAAAAGAAAACAAGCAAGTTCTGAGAGCACCAAGGAACCCTCCACAAATATTCTCTTTTATTGACTTACAGGCTTCTGTCCTTTGCAGGATTTTCTACCTTCATGCCTAACCTGACACTGAATTAGAACATTTTTAGGCTCTCATTCCCCATCCTTGACCCTTACAGCCAATGTTTCTTTAAGGTC